ATGCGCGTTTTGTCCTATTTGGAACTCGTCAGTTGGATGTGCCGATACCCCAGTGAGCGATGTTGTTTCGACTAACACTCCAACTCACGACCAACCGCTTCAAAATGCCAGAGCGCTATCTACTAGGCCACTAAATCACGATAACCACTTCTTGTGCAACGAGTATAGTTTTTATGTTGTTGATCCAATCAATTATGGCATGACGAAAGCGTTTAAAGCGATCGGTCGCGGTTGAAAACAACATTGCTCGCTTGGTGGCAGATGCACCCAGTGGATGATTCCCAAATAAGACTGTCTTCAATCCCACTGCTAGCCACCATCCATCACTGGTATAAAATTCGCTCAGTTACCGAGTTGCATAGTAATAAGTACTAGGTGTGATGTATTGGGAAATACAGTCGTTATCTATATCAAGATAACCTTTTACAGGAGGTTGAGGATCTTTATGTTGAGATACTTTTTCATTAAGCGTTTGGAAAAAGGCACACCTCCACCCCTGATTGTTCCAAGTACAATACTTATTTGTTGGTCATACACTAAATTGGGACTTGTCATACTGCAACCGACTAGATTTCTTTACAGTCTGATTAGCACATTATTTATGGTATTGATATTAGTCATCCATGGACAAAAAGTCACTTTGAACCATGTAAACTAAGTTTGTGTATAGCGTCTACAGTGGATTAACTTTTTGAACAGATATCATTTGACCTTAATTCTGGATAGAAGGAAATATTCCCACAGACATCTAGAGATTTTCGAAACCATCGTAAGCCTATAAGCTCTAGGTCCTTATTCATTCATATTTCAGGATCATCTAATCATTATTGTTGTGAGCATTGTTCTAACTGCCATACGGATATAGCACTAGTCAAGACTTTACACTTATAGCCTTTGATATTGATCGCTTTTAAGCGAAATTAGTTATACAGAGATTCGTAAGATATAGATGAGTATTTTTAAGATGAATGGAGATTTTAATTTTGAAGTAGTATTCCTCACGAACTGACATCATTTGGGGGAACGATTGAAAACCTAGGAGCACTGGACAGCTGTTTCGTCGTAGTATGTGACTTCCGCACCGACTACTCGGCTAGGGATCAAAGTTGGAAACTGTAAACCATTGACCTCCGACCAAGTGGCTAGTTGGCTAACGCGTTCGTCGTGAAACCTGAAGGGCCTGACTTCGATCCCTAGCTGGGTTGTGAGTGCGTACTGCTGAAGAATCCCGTACTAGGATGAAACAGCTGTCCAGTGCTCCTAGGTTTTCAATCGTTCCCCCAAATGATGCCAGTTCGTGATGAATACTACCTCAATATAGATAAGGGTTCAGCCTGATTTGTTGTTTAGCACAGACAGATAAATCCACGTAGAACCTGACAGTAAAGTGCATCGGCGCCAGTTGCCACACTTCACAGTAGTACACAAAGAACAGGTGGATAGAAAAAGGGTGATATCAAGTTAGATAAAGTTGTGTTACAGAATAAATAATCTGAAGATAAAGATTAGTGTGAATATTCAAGCTTTAGAAGATGTCAAGTAGTGAATACATCTGCGTCATTGTTACCGATTTTCAGCCATGTCACCAAATAATCTCAAAAAGCGATTTTTGTTTTCTCGAGGACCCCAACCAGGTAGTCTGTATCTTACCCACATGGCTCAGAGCAGCAGTCAGTGACTTCATCTACTGGTCATCCTGATTCCTCTTCCAGCCTAATCTAACCTATGCCAGCATTGCAAGTAGGAGTAGGTGGTGGATTGGCATGCGCAAACACGTCCAAGCCACCTCAGCTGATGAAGATTCACAACCTCATCCGCTGACTTGCCTGTTTTGCCTAGTACCTTTCTCCTTAACATAAATCACATGGTGATTCTATCAAACGCATGCAATGCTACGAAGACACCTATGATCAAAACCCTGTAACCGCTTCATTTTGTCTATTTTAATGACCATGTCTTAGACATCAAGTCTTAGGATGCTGTTCGAATTTGTAAACGTTTTGATTCACATAACTTTATGAAGTTTTTCTGTTCGTGAAAAATATTTCTCCAATAAGTTGTAATTGATGTTTTGTAACTTTCACTAGTCATATTAGATTTTAGCTATAAATGTTACATGAAATCGCACAAAATGCTTGAAACAGTGAAACTGTAATTAAGTTATGAGCACATCGTTGGTCCACACTGTAAGCTTGAAGTACTGAAGAACACTGTTGCTGTTTTTTGTCACATCATATAAAGTTGTATTTGTGATAATAATTAAAAAATTTCTAACTGGTTTACTTCGTTCATTGTTCTAGAGAAGGATAGATTCCAAAGGAAAATTGAAGTGATGCTTGAATATGTCTCATTTCGTTTTATACTACTAAGTTTTTATTTTAGTAGTGTGATTATTTGAGAAGAATTTCACCAGTTCTGAACACAAAAAAACGTCTTCGAGCTGATAGCTTGTAACTTGGTCTTTTTCGCTGTTGTTCAGGTTAATCATTTTTGTAATATCAGAAATAGGATAAATTCAGGAATTTAGAAAGTGGAATTTTTATCTTACTGTCTATTACTACATATTGTAGATTTTTTGAAATGAAGTGATTGATTGTTGCTTAACGCCTCCACATTGTCGTGTCAGCGGGTGAATATTCACATTCACTAGTTTGTTGACATATCAAGTTTTTTTATCTCAAATAGAATAAACTTCAAATCCTTGATTAAAATGTTAAGCATCATTAAGTCCTGTAGAGTGTAAAGATTTTCAAATTAAGTTCAATAAAACTAAATTTGATCTCCAGGTTTATATATTGATCAGTGTAACTATCTGAGGTGGCCTTAATTTACCAAGCACATATTATTGATACTGGTTGATGATTTAGGATGAAATGAAAGTCTTGGCCCCGAAATAATTCGAGGCAGCGGTTTCCGGGTTACTGGCTCGGTGCTCTGCTAAGTGAGCTACAAGGCCTAGGTTCTAACCAAATCTTAATCTCATCTCAATTTATTAGACGAATGTTGACTTTATAATTATTAAACTTTGAAAAGATGCGAGTTAAAAAATAAATGGTTATTTACAGCACGGTGTCTGGATGAACAGAGATAAAATTGCAGTTAAAACGAAACTAGTGATGCTGGTACGTAAAAGCGTAAACTGAAATAGGTGGTTGCTAAGTGCGATTTTGAACCATTAAATTACAGCCTGACTAATTACTTACTGAAATTCAGTGTTTATATAGAACGAAAATAATCATTTCATTCGATGAATCGAGGTAGAAACCCGGTGGTTAACCTACTTCTGTAGCGAAATTAGAACACGAAGTTTATCTGAACAATGTGTGATGTATTTGCGCAATACATTTCGAACAATCTGACCACACACATTTGCTTTTCAAGTCAATATATATTAAACTGAAGAGTGGGAGAAAGAAAAATGCAACAATTATCAAAATAGTGGATTAGAATTAAGAAAGATGAGGACAAACAGGAAGTGACCTAATTGATCCTAATCTTGGTAAGAAAACAAAGTTTACCAAGCAAGGTAGGCGTAGTATAAGAACAAAATATTTTTTTACACATAAAGGTTGTTTCAGTTTGTGTATGGCTATGGCTTCCACAAATTCCAGTATACGTCCCTGACTGTTTTTATATAAAGCTTTGATATCTGTTTGGACATTAATTTTGTGACCTGTTTCTTGATATATTTAGTTATAAATAAAGAGGGTCGTCTCCCGCCAGCGTATATCATGGTTTCACACTCGATTTGTTTTTGAAACCATTTAGGTACATGTTCTTCCACTCTCAGCTGCATGGTTAGATTACTCCTCCTTATGTATGTGTGACCACAAACACACGTGTAAGTTGGTAAACACAATGGGATGTGACGTAATTGTTGATGTAGTGTTTAGGTTTGTGGTGGAGCATTTGCTTTGTTTTTTCCACAATGGTAAGATTAGCTGCATAATATGTTTTGCTAATGGGTAATGTTAGCCTACGTCTAAAAACAATACCATTCAACTCCCCTCTATATGGTAGAGTGATATGAACGCTTTTCTTAGGAACCGTGTATAGAGTTAGCTTCGGTGCTACTTGGCCTCTACAACGATTTATAAACTTCAATGGACATGAGTTTTCCATAAGTGTTGTCAGTAATTTGATATCTTCATCCATTATACCTGATATAACTGATAGGACAGGACAATACCAACGAGTTCTAGTAAGATGCATGTTTAATAGGATCTATCGTATCAGTACACCAGGTAGGATAGATGAAGATATCAAATTACTGACAACACTTATGGAAAACTCATGTCCATTGAAGTTTATAAATCGTTGTAGAGGCCAAGTAGCACCGAAGCTAACTCTATACACGGTTCCTAAGAAAAGCGTTCATATCACTCTACCATATAGAGGGGAGTTGAATGGTATTGTTTTTAGACGTAGGCTAACATTACCCATTAGCAAAACATATTATGCAGCTAATCTTACCATTGTGGAAAAAACAAAGCAAATGCTCCACCACAAACCTAAACACTACATCAACAATTACGTCACATCCCATTATATTTACCCACTAAGGGATTTCTGTCTATAAGGAGGATTGCGTGTTGTTCACTCATAGAGAGAACCACTGAAAATCTAATAACTGTTGACAGTTATTTCATCTTAGTTTGGGACTTCCCAGCAGTTTGCACCCATGACCTCACGAAGGAGTGACCTCAATAACTTCAGGCCTCATAGAAGTAGGATATAGTAGACTATTGTATAGTAATCGGATGATTGAATGGTAATAAGCTCATCTTAAGTCCTGAGCTCAATTGCTTACAGACGTGTCGATGTACACTGCTGAAGAGTCACAAACTAGAACAAAACCACTGTTCAATGATCTTAGATTTTTAGTGATTCTACAAATGATATCAATCCATGATGAAAAATACATTTCACTAGAATACTAACGTTCCAACTTGTATATACAATTTAATGTCCAATCTGTTTTTAATCTTTCTATGTTTCAGGAAGATATTGTAAATGTGAATGCAATTTTTAATCAACTCTCTGAATTAGTATATGAACAACGAACTGCTGTTGATTCAATTGAAGATTGTATTGAAGTGGCGCTTACCAATGAACAGTCTGGTCACTCAGAACTTGTAAGAGCTTCTGATAGACGGGTATGTTATTTGCTAAATTTAATCAATCATTATTATATGACTAGATAAATATTTTCATATATTTAAATTAAATAAATTATTAACACCTGATATCTAAAAGATTACTTATTCGAAAAAAGGATTATATTGGGCTGTTCTTAGATAGTCTAAAATATCAATTCTTTACCAATATCATTATATCTTCAGTTATGCCATCTTCTTTGATTTGAATCAATGAGTAATATCATTATTCTTGTCAGGTTATTGCTTAGCATCACCTAATGGTATCTGAGTTACACATGATGACTGCATTGTAAATAACCTACTGCTGTATTCTTAACATAGTCCAAGGTATGCATATATGAAAACAAAAGTAGTTGTTCTGAGCAATAACTTGCATACTGCATTTAAGCAGTGTTTCTGTATTTTACCCAATCAATCAAGTTGTAGCTCATGTTGTGAATTAGTTAGTTAGCTAAATACACATTAAGTTTAGGTTGTAATTGCATATTATGGAAACTAGTCTTCGTTTGTTAATTGGAGTCTATGATGAACATTTATATTTGTGATGCCTCACCCCTATTTGATAAGTATTCAAGTTGTCTTTTTTGAAATCCAGTGCAGAAAGTTGACATTGACGATTCTCATCATTTTTACCTCAGAACTTTTGCATTCATCAATTTCACAAATATTTATCGTAATCAAAAGTGTATTCTGATGGAGATTTTCGAAAACAACCTAAAAATGTATACAGAGGAAGCCTACAATCCTCCTTGCTAAATGCTAATGTGGAATTACCATTTTTCTAGGACAGATTTCCGCAATGTCATCCGAACTGACTGGTGCGAAAAGACTGATTTCAGCTGGCTCTGACTATAATGAAGAGATAAAGCATGCGAATACCGCGTAAAATGACCAAGAGTTTTCATAACAATTGCAAGCAGTGGTGAGTAGCGAAAGCGAGAGAGAACGAGAGATGAAGAAGGCATCAGTGTTAAGTAAAACTCGGCAACTATTTAGGGTTATTAAGAATACCATTAAGAAGATGATGGTTAGTGAAACCATCACCGAAAAGGACAGTACCGTGTTGGGACAGGTGGCTTGAATATTGATCTTTCAACTTTCGTCGAAATTGAGAAAGCTCTTTCAAACCTGAAACTAAATCTGCCGATTTGCCACTCGAATATACTAAGGATGGAAGTAAGAAATTACTGTATGCAGTAACGGAGTTGCTAGGTAGTGTATGGGCGCCAGAAGTATCTCCATCAGACTGGTCTACACCGATCATCCCGGTCTGTAAGAAGGAAGACAAGTCTTCTTGTTACAAGCAAAAGGGAATCAATTCGCTCAATATCGTATCCAATACCTTGGAGTCCATAATTATGTGGTACTTAACTGGAGCATGACAACGACATACTCGAGAAAACCAGTCAGTTTCCAAACCTGAATGAGAATGCATGGATCAGATTTCCACCCTTCGACAGGATCTGAAACACAAGCATACTTACCGTCAACCTACGCTTGTTGTATTTCCTAACCTGAAGATGGCATTTGGCTCTGTCGACCATATCTTGTTGTGGCAGTCTGACAATGAAGGAAGTGCTGCTCAAATATATAACGCTAATCAAAGCTCTCTACTCGAACTCACGCAAACGTGCAAGAGCTTATGGAGAGTTGTCCTGTGAAATGACAACAACTAGTGGCGTTCAGTTGAAATGCCAACTATCACCGTTGCTGTTTAACTTCGTCGTAGACTTACTAATGGATATAACCTTCGGTGCATCTAACTTCACATGGTTTGATCTTCTCACTGAAGGTTATCTGGTTGACTTGGAGTATGCAGACAGTACTATCTTCCTCGGTGAAGATACTGACAAAATGTAGGGTGTTCTGAACCCGTTGAGGAAAATTCTGAGTATATTTGGCATGGGTTTCTCTAGCACCTATCAAATGTAAGATGATACTCCAGAACTGATCTGATATAAGAACTCTCGGTTGAAGGATAGGGAGTGAAGTGATGGAATGTATCGACTACCTCATTTACTTGGGGAGTTGCATCAGCACATCGAACGGGCTAGTTGCTAACGAAATCTCAGCTGGGATACAGAAGGCCCGTTTGACAATTGCCAGCTTGCGTCATCTGTGGCACCGACTGGCGAGACATTTGACAATCTATCAAAGAACGACTATACTGCGCTGCAGTTCCAGAGACAATAGGAATCAGTGGTTGAGGAATCTTGGTGACGAGGCTAAAAATTGGTCGCAATCTCGTAAATGTATTCACTCCTTGAGGCTTTCTGAACCTTGATTGTTTTGAATAACCCCAAATTTTAAATTCCATCTTTTCCCACACACCTTTGTCTACTTCGATTTCTGTCTTTCTTATCCATTTTTTCTTTGTACGCTACTGTGAAGTGTGACAAATTGAACTGATGCATTTGTGTATGAGATTCTAAGTTGATTTTATCTGTTTTACCTTAGTACTTTTTTGTTCATCTGTCACATAAATATCTCCCACCATCTGAAGAGCATTCTGATGAAGAATTTCCAAAACAACCTAAAAATGTTTACAAAGTAAATTGATAATACAATCCTCTTTACTAACCGCTGAGATGGTATCAACATTTTGCTACGACAGATTGAAACAACTTTATGACGCACGGCAATCTACAGTGTATTGCTGTATGACTGTGGTGAAATCTTCATAGGTAGTTAGTATCAGAAAGTTGCATATCACTAGTGATTCTTCCTCTTTCTTCATATATTTTTCTTGATTTCTGTATGTACCATACGAAGTTAGCACAACTTCGACACGGGAAATGATACCATATAGAATAATATAGCGATATTATAGTATTAATGAACAGGCAATATCAAGGTTAAATAAAAAATATTGTGTTAAGTATGTCAACTATTTGATGACATTGTGAAATTATACAGGCTTGGTAGTTATGATGTGTAACTCATAAATAAGTTCACGGATACTGTGAAATGTATTATTACTTCTAGTAGATATCTAACGGGAGTAGAGTTTTAAGTAATGAAGCTATGACATTGTACTTTAACAACACAAAGTCATTAATTGTTAGCTTGTAGTTGATAGTCAGGACATCTTATACTCAAAATCTTTTTCAACAGAAATATCTATAATTTTCATTTATCATTTAAATCATATATGGTGTAAATATTTGGATCTACCTTATTTTTGACTGTCTGATAGTTTATTGATAATTTTTTACGCAGTAAATGTAGTCAATGTTAGGATGAGCGTTTTAAATGCTAGAATGAACATTATTTTATAATAAAGTATATTTTTCTTATGTATTGTTGTATTTTTCGGTTTTAGCAAAGATCTCGAAGATGTTGTTGTATATTTGTAGCCATCATATTTGTGATCATTCTCATTGTGATAATTGTCTTAGTTATTGAATACCCTCCGAAGCGAACTCAATAGAAGAGAATCACTTACCTACACATACACATACACACACACACACTCACATTCATACAGAAACTGTCTATATTTTTTTCTGTATCATATAATAACTTATACTGATAATTTCACTCGTTCATGCTCACCTCATCTCAAATCATTTATCACTATTTTATTCCACTTTGTTTTTAGACAGAATTTAACTACGCATACATTTGTAATATATATACTACTGATTATCGTTATCAGAGACTTGTTTTACTATTCATAGAAAAAAAATTTTTTCACACATATTTTGTTAGTTGTTATTATTGCTGTTTTTTTTTGTTTAGAAGAAGCACAGACCTGTGTATGTCACGATGTTGCCTATGTCTTTTCTTTTTAGATTTTTTTCCCCTTGTTTCTTGTCCAAAAAACTTCCGATCTCTTTCTGTCGTCTCATCTTATATTTTTAGAATGCCAAGCAAAAATCAAGACTATTAATTGATGATAATTCATTCAATAAATTTTTCAGGATTGATTTCTCCCCATTTTTTTTTACCAACATAATAGACAGAGAGCCAAAGAGAAATATAAATAAATAAAATTTCTTTTTTTTTTTCTGTGGTTTGAATTCTTAGTACAACAACTATAACGACGGCAATGATACTATATTATTATTATTATTATTATTATTATTATTATTATTATTATTGTTCGTGTAAGCAGTAATACTATTAGTCATTAATGATGGTCATCAGTAAATTTGTTTTGAAGCAAAACCGTTGGATTTTTGTTTATGTCATGTCCTGGGGGTGAAAGGGGGTGGGTGGGTGGCTAAGTGAAACCCTCCAATACTGCTGGGTTGAATGTAGATCATCAGTATATATTTACATGTTTGTATATCTGTCATATTAGTGATGCACATCTATATTATATATATATATATATACAATTGAGAGATTAATGTGATGACTATCATTAGTTTTGAAGTATGTGTACACGTGAAACAAATATTGTGCATTCATCTTTTGTGTTGACAATTCCTTCTTCTAATGTGTCCGTTATATGAGGTAATCAATTGGAATGTTATTGCTGTTGTGAATACAATCTCTTGTCTGTTGGATAGAAAGACAAAATTGAATGACGTTAGCTTTCTTTTCACTCTGTTCTAGTTGTTATTCTCCTTTAAAATTTGATAATTCTATCAGTTAATTAAAATTTTAATTCTCATTTTCTGTACTGTTGTCGCATTTAAAGGTGTTGGATGGGCCTCTTTTTTTAGATCAGTTATTGTATATGAAGTGAGTTATGGAAGTGTTGGGAGTGGGTAGATGGGCTGCAGTAAGAGTAGTAGTAGTTGTAGGCTTAGTTTATGCATAAATTCTGTTATACTTTTTGATTTTGTCTTTCATCATGATTGATTGAAGACTGTAAGTGTTTTTTTTTTAATCTCTTAAGCATACTTGTGTGTGTAAGTTGATTGTTTCCAAAAATAATCTCAGTGCTTGATATTCTATTACAATGATATCTAGTCAGTTTATCCTCATTGCTCGCGGATACTCACAATATGTATACACACATACACTTTGTATTGACAGAAAAGAAGACAGAGATGAATGGATTTGTGAAGATGAAACAAGACAAATTGTTGACCGTTTATATGTCAAAAGATTCTTGATGATAGGAACAAAGGTTCACTGTTTCTTTGATTATAGATAGGTTGGTTTATTGTGTTGTGTTGTCTTTGTTTTCAAATCGGTTTGCATATTTGTTTATTTTATTAATATATGCATAAGTGTCAATCAATAAATATCATTATTTAACCGGATCAAACAAAGCTAACAGTGCAATAAGAATTATTATTGTTATTATTAGTACTGGAATTCTTTATCACATCTGTTGTAACCTTAGATTGAATGGATTTGTGTGTTGTACACGGATTCTTAGTTGATATTAGAGCTGTTGAAGCTTTCGGTTTCAGTTTATTCATCTTTTTATTCAGTAGGCCTGGTTGTTGATGGTGATGGTGTTGTTCTCCTTCGCGTTGTTGTATTTTATTTACTGGCGATAAAACTGATTCATAATTGCTGAAATTTTTTGATACATAATGCTCATTAATATTTTTATTTTTACTATCGGTATTTATGTCGGATAGTATCATTTCTGTTTTCTGTGGAGTTAAGTCTGTCAGACTGACAGCTCTTTCTTGATGTCCCGTTGATTGTTTCCGACGGATTATCTGACCGAATGAGTTGAATTCACTAGTATTATTGTTAGTATTATTATTAGCCGCAGTAGTAGTAGTAGTATTGTCTCTATCAGGATTATTACCATCATCATCGTCATCATCACCTTGAAAGTTTGTGCATAAATTCGGCTGTGATGCTTGCATCAAATGTAAGCGTCCCCAGATATGCTCATGATTCATATCAAGCAGAGGTGTGTATTGTCCACTTTTATTGTGTTGATGTTGCATAACAAGTCTCTTCAGTTGTTCATGATTATTATTAATTAAACAATTGTTTACTGAAAAATCTGGCCTACTAAATGATGACATATTTCGTGAATTATTTGAATGTTGTTTATGTTGTAATGTTTGATAGGCATTACCTTTATAGGGAGAAAAAAGATAATTACAAAATAAAACTCAGTGACTGGTGATAATCTGTTAAACAGATTGATGTCATCAACTCTAAGGACTTAGGTTTTTTAACTGTCTAATGGTCCAGTGTTATCACATCTACACATCTAAGTACAAGAATGTAAGAGGAAAGATAAATCAAAATAAAATGGTAAGAATCTGCAGAACAAAAAGAAGGGCTAGAGAAAATAAGGAAATGCGGTATTACGACTAAGGTGAAGGTGAGACGTAGATGCACATGCGCCGTAGATATTCATCTGTTCGGTTGTCTCATGGACCTCCTTCATTTGATCTTTGTACCTACCAGGATGTGAGTTACGCGTACGGACACTTTTCGATTAATAAAATCGAACTGTTCACTGTTTGACTGATAATCGATTGTCTGAACTTTTGACCAATTGTTTGTAAAATGTGATAAATTAATCAGAAATCCTTTTATCTATCCGCTCTTTATTTCTGTCTGAAGGTCTGTGGAGATTTATTAATTGATTTTCGGTTGGAATTCATCATGGACTGACATCAGTTGGAGAAAGGTTGGAAACCTGACAGCACTGCACAGCTGTTCCATTTAAGTATGGGACTCCCTAGCAGTGCGCACCTATGACTACGTCAGGGATCGAACCGAGGACCATGATGAATTCCAACGTAAGATCAATTATTAAGTCTCCATAAACCTCCAGATAGAATAATTCTGGCGCTCATTCGGGACTAGCTTCGAGAAGTGATTCCCGAAGTTCCAATGAAAGTCGTGACCAGTGAAGTCAACCAAGTCGAACATGAGGACAGTTACTCAATGACAACACTGGATGTAGTTCGCGCTATATAGTGAACTGACAGAAATAGGAAATACAGACCATTGGGTTCTGACCCAGTGGCTCATTGCTAACGTGGTAGCCATGGAATCTGAAGGTTCTGGGGTTCGATCCCTGGCTGGGAGGGGCTGTGGATGTGCACTACTGAGGACTCCCATACCACACCGAAACAGCTGTTCAGTGCTCCCATGTTTCCAATATTCATCCAATTGATCTTTGTTTCGTCGCATGGGAAACGTGTAGTAAATCGATACTTTTATGTATGTACTCTTAGCTGAGAGCGCAAAAAAAGAGGGAAGACTTACTACCCTTTAAGCGACTGTTCATTCTTTACAAAACTATACTTATTTATAAACATAAAGGCCAAAATCTGGTATATCTACACAAATTCAATGGAACTACATCTGATCAGTCTAGGTAGTTACCTTTCAACGTGTGTATCATAAGTTCGAACTTTGCTTCACATTTCAAAATTTTGGAAGTCGTTAGTTCTCACAGAATCCATGTAGCACATTACCTTCGACAAGAACATTCACAAATTCACCGGGACTGTTTCCTACGGGAGACAAAACCTTTGAATGCACAAAGATTAGTTATGCCAATTTTATTTTCTGAAGTAGCGACTTTCATGAGATTGTAAAATGTGCAGAATTTGTAATTCTACTTCAGTAGGTAACATAGAAATTGATAATTATAAATGTATTTATCTGTGATAATATACTGAGGTATTGCGAAGTGAGACGATACCTTTTTGTTCAGTGCTGTTTGTAATGGCTTTTCCCTTGTGTTCAACCTTTCTTCACACAAAAAGGAACCTTTTTTTCATTCAGTTAGCGTTGTACTTCAAGGATTTTGTTGTAAGGCTTTACAATTGTATTTATATGTGCTTGAAAGTTGATTTATTCCACTTGAATTGTTCACTACATTTACTTGTGTTAGAAGGGTTAGAGCAAACAATGACTAAAAAGAAGTAACACTGAAGAAAGGAAATTGATTTAAGGAGATAAAAATAGAGGTCAAGTGGTACTAACAAAAGTTGTGAAATAAAGATGATGGTAATAAAATGGCTAAAGGAAATGCAATAATATTAACTTCAGGTGGTTTTATTACTAGAGCCATGGTTAAAAATAGGTAAAATTCAGGTTTTTAACTGCGTATTTTCAGCAGTTTAGATGAACACTTCCAATGAAAACCTACATAGGGTATTTCAAATTACCTCCATTGACAACTTTAAATAGTAACTGATGAGGAGCTGAATTACCAGACTCCATAAAATATGTGAAGTCCTTTAAGCTTGGTGTTAGCTGATTTTTAAGTCAGATAATGGATAAGGGATACTGCCTGTAGAGGAAATCTGTCGATGACATTGTTGTAATGTTTGAAAAGCATGGAGGCGAAACCCGCATATCGGAAGGAGTCATTGTCTATCACTTTAACATGTCAGGTAGAAAACTCTAATCATCTGCTTTTGTTTGTGTTCAAGATGGTTCTATCAAATGACCAGTGTATAGGAAACTTATTTGCATATGTCACTACCCAGATTTTGACATACTTCTACATTTACTGGTTTGTATTTGTTCGGATACGTCATTGAACTTTGGGTCGATAATCCAGATCCCACTGGTTCGAATTCTGTTATGACTTAGGTTTCTATATCATTTGTATCAATCTTTGTTGTTGTGTTGTTCCCAACAAGACTTGAAAGCAGGACTAGTAGCTTCAGACGCCAAAGCGTTTTCCATTAGGCTAGTGAGTCACAACAACCACTCCTTATGCGACGGATATAGCATAGTTCTTTCAATGTTATAGCTTATAAATATCCATCGTGTCTTTCTTAATAATCTTGTGTATTCCTTCCGTTGATAATAGTTGGAACTAACGAATGCTCAGAAGTATTTATAGTCTTTTTATGATTCCTTTTTTTCGTAAATGCTCAGTACTTCATTACTCCATCAGTCATGAACAATAGGTAGTTCTCAGTTGTTTATTGCAGTACTCCCACCTTAATATGAATTCTATCAGTAGTGGTTGAGACCAATGATTACCGACTGCGATGCCATATTGACTCCTGTGCAAGTTTTCACTTACTAATTGATCGTCTCATATTTTCTTTTGTTGATCTATTTTGTGTTATTTTACTGTCAGTGTTGACCTGCTGAGTCAATTGTTACATTTTTTTGTTATAACCACCGGAATGCAACATTTTACTTGCAAACTGAACAAATCCTTAAAGTTGTCAAATCGTATCGAATCGAAATGCGCTTAGTCACCTTGTGCACATCCGGGCTGAAGGCAATGAACCACACCTATTATTTAAGGGCTAGTAATATTACCTGAGTAACCGAATCCCGACAGGTGGAGTGGTGTTCCAACCAGTAGATTGCAAGTTAACTACCAAAGACAATGAGCCACAGTTCCACTCCTAAAGTTGTAGAGTTCCCAAGGAAGACTGTTATAGTTTTTATTCAGGTAACAAAGATTTCTTCGTCTATTGGAATTGATATTCTTAAGAATACGATATATGCAGAAAAAAATTCATTTTTTTCTTCAGTTGACATACCTTGTAAGATAATATTTTTTCCCCTTGGTTGTGTATCGATATATCCATAAAGTTCAGTATTTCGACTATGCAAAGGCATAGGTTCATGATGAAGTAAAGTTATTTCTCCAGTGTTCAACTTGACAGTTGTTGTTGGTGATGATGTTGGCAGTGTGCGAAAGATATGATTTCCAGGTATTGGTTGGTGTGCTTCATACAACATCGTGCCTATCGGAGAACAATTGAATTCTTCTCCAGGATGTGATAAAGTCCTTGCAGAGAATGTGGAATGTGAATGAGAATTATTTGTCATTTCATGTAGTGGTTGTGTACCTGGTGATCCTCTGTTATATATATCTTGCACTGTTGAATCATTTGAACGAAGACTCATACCAACAACCTATAAATCAGAACATAAATTACTTAGAGCAGTTGTGGAATACATGAACATTAAAAATAAATCTAATTCACTAAACGATATGCTTATCTCAGGAGGATGATTTGGGTGATGGTTGTTGTGAAGAAACTACTTTTAACAGTTTGTACTATGAAATAACATTAGCAGAAGAGTCGCCGAAAATTACGGAGTTGACTATTTGTTTCATTTAGCAGATACTATAATCAATCCTAGGAGGTGAGCATTTTATGGTCACCCATATACAGTTCAGTGGTTTTCCGTCTGTTATCAGTTCACTATGAAAACTACATTTAATTGAACTTTTTGTTTACTAATGTGCTCATTTGTATTTCTTTAATAGTGTTAAATATTTGCAACAACAGTTGAGAAGGTCCTTGGAGGTGAAGCTGAAGCTAACAGTGTAATCTTTCAGAGAAATAAAACTACTCAGCCATCCGTTTCTTTTCCACAAGCGTTTATGTTTACAGACCTGTAAACTTACACATTTCAGGCAATTAATCATTCCTGGTTGAAAAAACGTTATCGAGCAGTCATCTTATTTTAAGCTATAAATCCCGTTTAATATAGTAGTTATAATTGTTGAAAATAAAATCTTTAACTTCGGATATCTGACGTGTACAAATGACTGCAATACCTATTTACGCGACACTTTAAAGTAAGTAATACTCTCAGCTGAAAGTGTACATGTTACTAATGGACGAAGTCATCCAGTTTGATCTCTATCGGCGAAGAGTCCGTTGTAAAAGCAATCTACATTATACAACTTTTTCGGAGAATGGAAACACTGTTCATCAGTAGAAAAGATTTATAACTCTGGATGAGGATAATGGCTTTTTGACGTCCTCCAAACTCGAAGATTTCCTTAGACGTTTCTTCATCAAGCTAAGGGGATTTCATCAGCATTTCTTCATATCGTCATCATCAAGATCAGCATAAGATCAGGCATTACTTCTTAATGGTCCAAGTTGCTAAACCCCATATCAGCACATCAAGTAACAAGGCAATAAAATGGAAGATGAAGAAAGAAAAATTTGTGAAAGGAAGTAGAAAAGTAGTAAAAGAGAGGAAGGAAGAATGGGAAAGTGATGAGACTAAGTATAGAGGTTTAGATGAAGATAATGTGTGTATGCATCTGCGTCACTGATATCGGTTGTGAGCCTCATCACCTAGAGTCTCCAACCACTGGTTTCTGTTGTCCCGTGGAACCCAACTGACTAGTATGCATCTCCCCACATGGCTCAAACGAACATTGATGGACTTGATGCATTGATGCCATGTTTTAGTCTGGCCACACAGTCATTTTCAAACCTGAACCTACTTCGGCCAATATTGTGCGACGAGGCAAATGGTGGTTGGATAGGCATACGCAACACATTTCCCATCCATCTCAGTCGATGGAGGTTCACAACCGCATGAACTGTCTTACCTCTCCCCCCTGGAACTCTACACCTGACTTCTGTGTTACTCACGTGGTGACAGTCTAAAGTGGCCTATGCTATGAAGGCAAGGGTGGTCAAATACCTGAAGCCTTCTTATGTCTTCCACCTTGAATGGCCATGTTTCACAGCTATACAGAAGAAGCAAGCGGATTGCAGCATAGCACACTCGATCCTTAGTGGACAATCGGATATCGCGGTGGCGCCGCATATAGAAGTTCTGTATGATGTAAATACTGATGTCGTCAGCTAGCCTGGTGACAAAACATTCAAGAACAAACCTCATTAATCGGAGAATACCAAGCAATAATCACTTCCCATCAATATTTATTGAAGTCCTTTTGCCTTGAATTCTTCGTGTTTGGTTATGCTACGAGGATATGCATGTATTGTTTTCTCGAATCATGTACATTTGAAGGAATATTTCAATTCTACTGTCTGTTTAACATGACTTGAATGCACTTCACATTGATCTAACTGACTAAATTATTTTTTATCAGAATTAAAAATGTCAAGTTGGCTAGACTGATTGGAAATATTCAGATGATCAGAAAAGTGGGTTATTCCAGCAGTTACCATCTAAGAGCCTGCTTTATTTCTAGTTAATATTTCGCTAAGGATGCTGTCTAATTGAACTATCAGAGGCTTAGAAACCGGAATAATAGCTCATAGAACAAACAATTATGACGTTCTGAAATCAACCATGTGCTAATATAACAAGGATTCCGAAATTTTCATTTCATTGAATAATCTGTATAACATCATACAGCTGGATATAAGTTTTGGTGATTACCTACATATGTGTAACACCACTCTACTATTCATTTAAACTAAAATCTTAATTTGATTTGCCTAATGAATTCCCGAGAAGTAATTTGGCAGTTGCTTCAACACTACGGTTTTAGTGCCACAAACTTTTATCAACCTCACTCAACAGCTATATGACGACTCTATATACCAAGTGGCTCACCGTGGAAAACTCAATGCTGCCTTCGAAGTGAAGACAGGAGTAAGAGAAAGTTGCCTACTATCACAGATGACCTTCCTGATTGTGGTGGACTGGCCTGGATCATGCAACAAATTGTGGGAAGATGGGCATACGCTATTTGACCGATGAAAAGACTAGAAGATTTGGATTTCGCCGCCGATGATGATTTATGTCTGTATAATGTCGCAGAAGCTCGAGGATCTACAGGCGCAAAACTAACAAGTTGACAGAAGAGATAGGGTAATGAAGACGGTACTTAAAGTAAACGTAGAGAAGACAAAGATGATGAAGATACCTAACCAACAACAGCATCAACAACAAGCACCAATCACCATGAACGGGAGAAACCTAAAGGAAGTTGTTTCTCTCACCTACCTTGGAAGCATCCCCTCAACTAAGGCGACGGCACAGATTAGGACGTCAAAGCCAGGATCGGAAAGGCAACAAGACAGGCCTTCATTAACCTGAAATCAGTGTGGAGATCTACTGCACTCAGCATAAAAAACAAGAGCCGGATTTTCAACACTAATTCAGTCAAGTAAGTCAGTGCTTCTATGTGATGTTTGAGAGACTTGGCACGTTACGAAAAGCATTTTCAGCAAACTACAGATATTCATCAACAGCTGCCGCCTACGCTCACTCGATATCGAAGATCAGATGACCAGAAAGAATAAGGAACAAGGAAATCTGGGAACGAACCAACCAAGAACGCATCGCCCAACAAATATGCAGAAGAAAGTGGAGATGGATTGGATTGTACATACATTGAGAAGACCGTCTGGGGACACCACACGCTAGGCCCTCGAGTGGAATCCAAATGGGAAACGACGAGTTGGACGTCCGAGAAAGCTTATGGTCAGTCGTAGAGCCAGGTTAAGGGGACTGACGAGAAGAGAGTGAAATGGCGACGTGCTAGTGAAGTCCTATGTTCCACTACGAACTAAAGGGACAAATAATGATAATAATATAGTGATTTCCCGTTCTAACTAGTTTTAAACTTTTCAGTGATATCCAGCACACTGTTCACAGCTTACAAGGAGTCTAACACATTCATGTTAGAGTCTATGAACTAAACCTATCTCCTTGTGGCTTTCAATATCAACAAGATGTTTAGACATTGGAAGATGAAGCAAGATTGAAATCCATGTCTTAATGATTCAGGTCTGACGAACCACAGTTGTTTATTACGGAGTAATATAGTTGTTTATGATAACAGATTCCTACTTGATTCTCTTATAGTTAGGGAAATTGAATGGAGACACAATCAGGGCTGACGAGTGCCGATAAGCGCTAAATTTAAGTTCACTTCTTCCTCATACCAGCTAATATCAATCAAAGAGTATCTTGATGACGAGATTCACAATTTGGCGACTACGTTGCAAATCATCTGTAGATATCCGTCACTGGAGAGTGACCAATCATTGAATGCTAGATAAAACTTAACGTTCTACTTTACTCCAAATGAGATATCGTTTTCAGCGGTGAGGTGAATGTCTCAAACTTTAAGTCTGATACTAACTCTTAATACTAAATATAACTGACTATTCAAAGAGACCGTCTCTATTTTCGGAAGATGATTTTCTTAAAATTATTGTATCTAACATTTGTGCTTACTGATTTTCTGTGTTTATAATAAACCCATACTTCTATTCCTTTAAGTATTTTGACTCAGCAATTTTCTTTATTGTTGTGGATTTGTGATTCATCTACTCATGGAACTTTATGCAGCTAGATAACGGATTCGAGTTTCTCACCTGTCAGAGTTGGGCTATCGGTTTATCTTATTTCCTTCAAGACAATAGATGTAACCCATATTCAACTGAATGAATGTGTAACTTGTTTCTGAGTCCCTCATTTTATACATTGTAAGTGACCTACACATAATTAACATTACATTTGGTGAAAGCGATTTACATGAATTCAAAGATCCTACATTTATGATAAGAGGTAATTGTCAAATGAAAACTAATTCCCGACGGTAAATAGTCACTCGAATACATTTAGTGTTGGTTTTTGTAGATCGTTAGCAAAAAAATAAGAACCTAGCTTTCCTAATCACTGACAGTTGAAAGTATAGTAGGTCTTCAAGCATAGTGCGGTTTATATCAGATTAGGGGCTTTGATCACATACACTGACGATGAGCAGCACTAAAGTCTTGGTTGTTATATGGTGTGTAATTTATATATTTCTTAAAGCTATAGTCAATGTTTTAAAATACACTTACTGTTTGATATTTATCTCCATCTGGATTCCCTTTCGGTTCAGCTAAAATGCATAAATAAAAATGTGGAATAAATTTGTATTCTTTTATTTTCAAATTACTTTTAAAAGAAAGTTTGTTTCTATCCTAATGGTGTTAACATAGCGATCTGTTTGAACTTTGACCTATGAAAAGTTTCCATCGAAAATATACAATAAATCCTTTCCCTTAAATTTGTTTTAATCATTTAAATATGTCCTGTGAACATATCATATACTTTTGCGCATTTTTAAAATGTTTTTCAACTAGCTGTTTCTCAAGTTAATAATAAAACGAAAAAAAGTATCACGTTAGATGGAAATAGACTTTTAAGTGCGCAAAAATTCATCATTCATATACCTTGGATACTTAGCTTAAATTACTGGCTGAATGAAACGCCACTTAAGCTCGCTATTTAGTTCATTTTTTATTCTAGACCGGACAATAATCCAGCATTTGCTATCTGTTTCACATTATTTCCTTTATTACTGTTAGTTTTAACATAACTCAGATGTAATAATTATTTCATTTGAAGATATTGTTCAGCGAGTGACTTTGTTCAAGTAGTATGTGCTGAGAACTCCATACTGTACAATCCATACTGTTCGGAATAAAGATTATCATTATTATTGTCAAACACTGTTAAGTCTCGTTTATTGTTAACATAAGCGTAAAACTTGGCCAATGTGGTAGAGTTTAATTCCATATGTCATTTGTTTATTTCATTCATAACACACAGTGATACAGTATAATTTACTTCATGACGTTTCGAGCATAAATTATCATTGCTCATAATAATATCAATATAATCACACTACTTTCGACATTTAATTTTTATAGTCCTGTCACCTGATGTGGTTTTTTTTATTGCTAATAAAATTTTCCATATTTCTGGTTTGGGTGTTGCGTGTTGATTCGATAAACAAAGATTCACTAATCAGTCACTCTCTCGACCTAATTATATTGGAGTTTAGTACAGTGGTTTTATCTCACTCATTCTATTGTGTGGATGTATGTTAATGCATGCACCTTAGTAGCCAAGTTTTTTTCTAGATTACTGATCTTATTTGGGTCTGTCATTTTATATTCAGCTAAATTTCTATGTTCCGCTATTCTAACTGATGTTTGTAACTCCATGTTTTTCCAACTATCCATAAATATATCTGCTGCGATTGGGGATATTGGCGATCCGTTTGCTACTCTTTCTGTTTGTCTGTATATTTTGTCCTGAAACTTGAAGATTGTGGAGGTCAGGCACAACTGTACGCCTAATATAATCTCATCAACAGATATCTTAGTTCTGTGTGTAAATTCTGAGTCAATATTTAGTCGATTTCTGGCTACCTCAAGTACCATGTTGATTAATATTTTTATATAAAGACTTGTCACAACGAAAGTAACCATTTTTTTCATTCTCTTCTATATGCAGGTCATTAAACCCGTTTTAACTCGTAAGAGTTTACTAGTCTGTAATTTGAACGGTTTCTAATAGGACACAATATCGATGCTAAATACTTTGCTAGTTCATATGTTGGGGTATTTCTGAAGTCAACTCTGGGTCTAATGTGATAACCTGGTTTATGAACCTTAATAGTACCACAAAATATTGTTAAGATTATTAGTTTTAAGCATTAAATTAAACCATTTAGACCCACTTAGAGACGGTTTTAGCCGACGTATCAGATCGGCTGTAGATTTCCTAATTTTATTCATGACCGTGTCTGGAGGGTTCTTGATCTCTTCATACCGTTCTGTTTGGATATATTTGTCAAGTTTGTTGGAGTAATCCAATTTATCCATAACTACTGTTGAATTGCCTTTATAAGACTTAACAATTGTCATTCTGTAGATTATTTAGAGCTGAATTTTGTATCCGCTTACTTATCATTTGTTGACTGCTTGCTTCTACTTCTTGCCTAACTAGATTTCATTATAACTTTATTACTTCAAATTCATTTCATTGTTACAGTTCAATATTTGATGCGATGAGTTCAACTTTGAGTATAATCAAGATCATTTATTGTTGAAGAGTAGCTTAAACTAATGTAATTATTTTTATGACTTTATTATGTTTTCAGGTGGTTATGTTGACAGAATGTGGGAAACACTGACAAGGTGAAATATTCAATATAGTCCTGAGTGAGTTGAAGTACGGCAGCTCTTACAATGCAATTTATAATCATGTGTATCCTTTATAATAATTGTAAATACTGAAGAATTATTTAAAGGACACTGTGAAATAACGATGGTGGAATCTATAAATTAATGGTTGACACAAATATAAGGAAATATGACTCAGCTGAAATGAGGAAATATATTATCAAGAAACAAGTTCCTTTTGACACTTTAATTCATACTTATACTTATGAAGCCTAAAATATATGGTAATGGCTGATTCTGACCTAAGAAGCTTGTTATTCACCAACAGCACTTCATGTATCTGACTGCTAGTAGTGATATAAGTGCTACTGTGATAGTGAGTTGTGTTGGGAATTCTTCCAAAGCCTGCAGCTTAATTCAGTAGAAAATGCAGCATATACATTCAAAAGATTAGGGGTACCACGGATTGTTTGATTGGAAACTCTGAAAGCATTATACCCAAACATTAAAGAAATTAGTTATTAAGGTAGTATTCATCACGGACTGATATCATTTGGTGAACCATTGAAAAACTGGGAGCACTGGATAGATGTTTCGTCCTAGTGTACAACTCTTCACCAATTTACGATAAGAATTTAAATGACTTTAAAGGCTCCATACTTAGGATGGGGAGGTATTGTCAATCAAAAACCTATTTTCAACTGTGGGAAGTCAGTAGTATACGTATAGTGTTAGTTGTTTGTAGATCTCAAGAAACTATATACCTACTTTTCATGACCATGTTTCGAGATGGATATCCCAACTTTGTAATGAGAAACCGTGACCTGTGGCCTTAACCAGTTGGAAGTGAAGCAGATGCCAACTGAAGACCTTGGATGATAGTCTCCTTATGTCACGAATTGATAGAAGTCGGAAAATGTGAACCACTGAACTCTAACCCAGTGACTGAATCGTTAATACGATCGCCATCAAACCTTAAGGTCATGAGTTTGCTTCCTAGTGGGGTTGTCGGTGTGTGTTCCTGAGGAATTTCACACTAGAACAAAAGGGTTGTCCAGTGCTCCTCGGTTTTCAGTAACTCTCTAACTGATATCAGTCCATGATGAATACCTGAAAGAATAAAATCCTGATTAACCTCTAAATAAATAAATCGTTTAAAAATATAGTATTTTCCCTTTTTTTAGCACTAATTTCGGTCAACGGTCAAGGTTGTTCCACATATTTTGCCAAACTTAAACACTTTTGAATATGAATCAGATTATCTGGGATACTTCCGGTTTTAAACACTGGTATTATTGACGCCAAGTGATGACTGAAGGTGAAGTGAAAATATGAGTCGCAAACAAGATTCACATCGGTGGTGGTTGGGTGTCCTACCAAATGGGTCACGAGACTCTTGGTCAGCAGCTAAGCCTCATAACTCACTCAGTAGGGTATCGGACCGATAACCCGAAGGCTGCGAATACCTCGGCGACTCAAGTTTTCATTTCAACTTCAGCCATCACTCCGTTCAACTTTCCAATGTATCCAAAACTGTTGGATTAACTTATAATTAACCTTGAGATTGATAAACTCTGTAAAGCACTCGATAGAGAAAAAGGATAAGTCGCAAGTGTAGATGTGCTGAAGTTACCATATTTCATATTAGAAGCCTGTTTGAATAAAGATGTTAGAAGAAATGTTAAGCGTATGGCGTAATACGATTTAAAAGTTTTTAGAAAAATGATTTGTGTTCCATCTCGGCTATAATGACCAGTTTTAGACCACGTAATCTACTATTTTTATCTATTTGGACTGGATTGCGGATTCGATCACATCTGATTCCTTACAGGTTTGTGAACTGATTAATGTGACAGTTAAAGTCTTCATCGATTGGCAAAATATCTAAGTCTGATCATTTCTAGCTCTCTTCCAACCTAACTTTATTTCAGCCGAAATGGCAGATTGAAATACACGATTGCAAGGCGTGTATAACACACACACTGATAACCTAAGATGACGAAAGTCTACGATCTGCTATAGTCCTCATTCTTTACCCACCACCATACACATAATATACTCATTGTTTGCTCAGTGATTCTATATCGCATGATCGATACTGCGAAGGCAACATTATTCAAGTACTTTTAACCCTCCTTAATAACCATGTAGAACAATGAAGTGTAGCCTGAAAGAGTACACTAGACACTAAAATCCTGCCTCAGATTCACAAATTATACAAAATGAAAATCGAGTCTTTTACTTTGGGTAAGGTTGTGCTTTCTCAGTGTGCTTACAAAGTGGGCTTATATCATATGCCACCTAATTTAATTGAGAAGTATCCGACGGCATCTTCACGTTGAAACTTCAGAAAGAGGAGATAACCTCCAGAAGTACATCTGTGATGAAATTAGGTAAAATAAATGTCCATAGAAAAAGACACTTCATGAGATGGTCGTTTACATGCGTGAACAAGATGATTTCCAATGGTTGGAGGCAATCAACTGTATATTGGTTGGCCTAGTGGATAGCCCTTTGGTGTTTGGAGCTATTAGCACTAGGTTCGAGTCCTAGTAAAGAGCAGGTGCATCCAGCTGATGAGTCCCAATTAGGACGGAACGCGCGTCTTGGATTCCACTGCGAGTCACCAAGAGCAATACAACTTCATTAGATGTCTCAGTTGAGAGAATCAGATGTTTCCTTCAATTGTCTAAATATGACTAGGGTAGGGCGTCTGAATGTTTAATCACGAAGAAGTAAGATTACATTTTAAGAGAATTTCCTGCTTCAGTCAAAAATTACACTAATCAAGCGCATATTATCTCTCTGACCATAGATATTGTAAAAAGTCCTGCTTAGTGGTAACTGACTATCTTGCAAAAATGGAGCATTTTTTGGCGTTAGATATTACATGGACAGTAATGGAAAACTTTGTCATCTGAAGTAC